TCCAGATGAACAGAATCAACTTTTGGAGATCTACTTTCCTGGATGATTGAGAATGCATCAAGACGTTTTGAAGAGATACTTATACAATGTGTTGCAGGTGCTGCTTCAAGCACAGAATGAGCTCCTAAACTACAGCGGCACTGGCATCAGTGTCCTCGGTGAGTAGAAAAACAGATCAGTACACAAACATGTTAATGTATTGTCTCTAGATTTTTCAATAAACGATGACTCTGTTGAGATGGATCCTTTGTGACCTCTTGTTAATTGTGGCCTGTAGCTGACATTTCATACACAGTGTATGTTTACTGTACTGTATCCAGATTAATAAACCTTGAGAGATTTCCATATGTCCAGATATTTCATAGCTGATCACTGCTTCCTCAGTCTCTGGAATCTGTGAAATATTAAACATCACAAATATCACATTTTCTTCAAAGGTGCGTGTACGTCATATACAGTGAAATAAAATCCCCCCAAATGTTCTTTTTGTACTAGAGATGAGTCACCGATCATCAGACTTCAATAAAATTATCAACAAAACAGAGAGCCTCCTGCGAGAGCTGTTGTAAGTAACTTTTGTTGCTCTGTTGTGTTTCTTCAGATATGCTGCACTATAATCACACCTCTTAACAAAGGTGTTCATTTTTTTTCTTGTAGTTTCAGCTCACAGTACATAACGTGTTGTAATCATAGTCAGACTTCTTTTAATGCATAAACCCTCGTACCCTTTTTCCTCTTTCGTACAGCAGCGCTAATGGTTGTGAGATGGTTGTGCACCTTTTCTTCGAAGTTATTCTTAGACAGTCACATTGCTGTCAATCCGATGGAGACAGAGATGTACAAGAGATAGCTGCATATTTTACCTGTCACATTTAAACCACAGCTGAGTAAAGAGATGCTGTTTGCTTTCAAACTGTACCTTTGCTTGGTTTAAGAATCAGACTTCCTGTAAGTTTACGTCTGCACGTGATTATGTCTGGATTGCCTTTAACACACACTGTTTTTTTTTTTTTTTCTCAGAAATATTCCAGACAACTACAAGGTGCTGTTCCTGCAGGGTGGTGGGTCTGGACAGTTCAGCAGTGTTCCTCTCAACCTGATTGGTCTTAAGGAGGATAGGTGTGCCGATTACCTGGTGACGGGCACGTGGTCGGCCAAAGCAGCAAAGGAAGCGGAGAAATATGGCAAAGTGAATGTTGTTCACCCAAAACTGGATAGTTACACGAGTAAGTGTGCAGACTGGCAAGTTTTTTTCTTTTCTTTTTTTTTCCTGCCATGACATTAAAATGGAAAAAAAGGAAAAACTAGTATAAGCTGAAATAGTCAGTAATTGTTATTCTGACTGCATCAGGACAGTGAGTCTACAAAATCTGGCTGTGTACCCGGGCGGTTGCATAATAAACAATAGAGCCAAGCACCAGTGAAAGACTCTGGTATGCAAGTGGTCATTTCCACATGGTTGGGCGTGATATTTAGAATCAACGCTATGGTGCTTTGAATTACAGTACTGTGCAAAAGTCTTAAGCCACCCTTCATTTCTTTATATTTTGTGCCAGGAAAACAGACTTTCTTCTCAATTTTTGCAGCGGTTTTGAGAAGTAGTTTTTCAGGCTTTCTGAAGGTCTTTCAAAGGTTTTTTTTTTTTTTTTTTTTAAATTTGCAGCTTTTTCACTTATTTTCAATTCAGTTACTCCAACTGACAATTTTTAGAGGCGTTAATCATTCAAACCTTAAAAAAGCCATGTAACTCCAGGGATTAACCAGTATTGCATCTACACAAAGCAGTAAAAACTGACAAAGAACAATTTTAATTGAATTATTTTTAGACTCTAGCTGCATATTGCAAACATGCATTTTCTCCCGTTTCTTTAATTGAATCTATGGGAAAAAACAAAGATAACATGACCTTCTTGGGGACACTCCCATACGGCTTAAAATCTGGGACTCTCCAGTCAGAGCTGAAGAAGCTTCTCCGATGAGAGGTGAAACGTCTTCAAGGAAACTTAAATAAGTCCAGAAGCTTTTCTTTCCGAACTCCTTAGACTACGATGACCTGGATGAGTGAGAATCTTCACAGACAAAGATAACACTGTTTGACAGACGTAAAATTGTATTTTTGCACCAGTAAGCTGATTCCCAAAGTGCTATTATATTGTTATGTCTCGCTTCCAATATAGATATTGGCATATCTCGGTATGGTGTGCAGTGTGTCCTTTAAAAAAATTTGAGGAAACTGGAAAAATCTAGGAAAAGAAGTAAGAGGCCTAAAAATGATCTACAGCAGCAAAATAGTATCTGAAAGTCATGACCTCAATAAATGGCAGAAAATCCAACAAAAACCCGAAACGAGGTTCAAGAGATACATCTGGCCCTTCAGCTGATCACTGTTCACCAAAGCATCATCAGAAATGGATACAGTGGAAGGGTAGTTCCCAAACACACATTATTGAAGCAGTGTGGGATCACCTTGAAAGCGAGCAAAATAAAAGGCAGCCAACATCTAAAAAAGAGTTTTGGATGTCCTTCAGGGAACCTGGAGAACTATTCCTGAAGACTACTTGAAAAAATTACAAGAAAGCTTGCCTAAGAGCCTTCTTACCTGATACGACTTTCTTCACATTCTGCTATCACCATAAAGTTTTATTTTAATAAGTTTTTGATTGCTCTCACTGTGCTGCTAGCATGGCTATAGATGGTTTGTTAAGTCTTGTTTTGATTTTATTATGCTGGGTTTTGTGTGTGTATGTAGAAATCCCTGACCCCAGCAGCTGGACCCTGAACCCCTCAGCCTCCTACGTGTACTACTGCTCCAATGAGACAGTCCATGGTGTTGAATATAACTTTACCCCAGAAACAAATGGGGTGGTCTTGGTGAGCGACATGTCCTCCAACTTCCTGTCCCGACCTGTGGACGTCTCTAAGGTGAGCTGGAAAAATGAGACTGAAAAATGTATATATTTAACTCTTGTGCCTCTGGGACCCTGTTCTTAAATATGTATTTAAGTTCTGTATTGCCATATTGGCTACCAGGGAATTTTGAGTGGGGAACATGTCCAAAAGTTCTTAGCTTCCTTTTGAACTTATAAGTTCCCTCTCACCAAATCAAAGGCATTTTTTTTTTTTGTCTCAAAGTAGACCCGTAGTTGTAGGCAAGGCTGTATTTATTGTGTTCTCCTGCAATCTGCAGTTTGGGCTCATTTTCGCCGGGGCTCAGAAGAATGTGGGCTGTGCCGGTGTAACCGTGGTCATTGTGCGAGAGGACTTGTTAGGTCACGCTCTGAAAGAGTGTCCCATTGTCCTGGACTACAAGGTGCAGGCTGAGATGAACTCCCTGTACAACACACCCCCATGTTTCAGGTAAAAACTCACCAGTGTAAGAAGTTAACCTTTATCCTCCAGACTGAAGATGATCAATATGTCAATTTGTCACAAACTTTAATCTTTTTCGTCACTGGGTTCAGCATCTACATCATGAGCCTGGTTCTGGAGTGGATAAAGAACAATGGCGGCAGTGCTGCCATGGAGATGCTCAACAAGCAGAAGTCCTCCATGATTTATGACATCATCAATGCTTCTAATGGTTTCTATGTGTAAGTATCACATCGGCATTTAAATACAAGAATTCAGAAGAAAAAGCAAAATGATAATGAACAAATGGGTCAGGAAGTAAAACTCTACCAAACCTACATATTAGTAGTGAAATAAGGAGTTCAAACCAGAGCTGTGTGCTGTGTTGTTACGCCCCTAGTCTAGGCATGTAGAGACGCACATAAGATTTGAGGAGAGAGAAGCAAGTACCCACCCTGGGTCCCAAACCAAACATCCGAAACCGGCTATGAGTAAAAAAAAGAGGTGATTTTATTTAATGTCAGGAAGCATAGCTCCAGGGTGAACCCAGGCCAAAATAATAAACAAAACCAACTAAGTCCTGCCAGAGGAAACTAACTAAACCCTAAGAACGATACAGAACAAACAAATGACAATACTATCCCTCGCTTCCTAGCCCAGAAACAGGAGGAAACAGTTCAAAAGAAAAGGCGGCTCACCCCTTCAGCTTCAGCCTATGCACGCATAAGCACTGAGTTTACCCACAAGCAGCGGCTCTCACAGAGCATGCTTACACAGATACAAAGTAACCCAAAAAGTTGGAAACCAGGGCCAGGTCCGTGTCTGCAGTCAAAAACTGCTCGCTCGCTTCTCTCTCTCTCTCTCCCGGCATCTGTCAGAGTGGCTTTTTGAACGCAGTCACGTGCTCCACGGTCCAATCAGCAGCTCACTACTCTTCATTAGGGGAAGGACCTGCAGAGAGTCTTAAGACACAGTAAAGAGACAGAAACACAGCAGCTCACACAGACTTCTTATGGCCACGGGCTGTAACATGTGTCCACCTGCTCAGGTGTCCTGTAGACACAGCCTGTCGGAGCCGGATGAATGTACCATTTCGTGTGGGGAAGAAAGAGGGAGATGAAGCCTTGGAAAAGGAGTTTCTGGATGGTGCTTCCAAACGTGGAATGATCTCACTGAAAGGACACAGGTTAGTTTGACAAACATTTTGTGTGTGTATAGTGTTGCTCAATTAAATCTGATTTTTAGATGGAGATTTTGCAACCTAGTAGAATTAATTTCCCTTTTAAGGTTATAGAAACAGGGTGGCACATTGGTTAGTGCTGGTGCTTGGGACCTGGACTAACTGACAATTCAAACTTGGTGGTTGGTGTGAATATGATTTGAATGGTTCTCTGTATTGGCCCTGTAATAGACTGGTGATCTGTCCATGGGAAAGCCTGACTCTTACCTCATAACTACTAGGATGGATCAAGCAGACTCCATGGATGGAAGTGGACAATAACTTTAGCCAGGAGCACAGATGTTGGATTTGCTTTGTAATTTTGTAGACAGAGAAGGCAGAGTATGAAACACACTTTTTTTTTTTTTCTCACTCTGCAGGTCAGTTGGAGGAATTCGCGCATCACTTTACAACGCTGTAACACTGGAGGACACTAAAGCACTCGCTGACTACATGAAGGAGTTCCTCAAAGATCACCAATGAAGCCTCTCATATTGAACGCTGCCTGATACCAGCCTGCACCTTTTTACATGCCTTTTATAACAACCTGGCATTGTTCCTAAAAGCTACTGCCTTTGCTAGTTATATATGTATGTAACATAGCCAGTAAACGAATTAAAAATAGTAATTCTAACAGGACTTATATGTGTAAATGTTCAAGGTGAATCTTGTTATTTGTAAAAACTGTACTTACATTCCAGTAAAAATTAACTTGACATTACTTTCATTTTTCATTTTTTCTGTTTGAGGAATGTTCAGGGGAGAAGGCAGAAACAGAAAATTGGGGTACATAAAGCAAATTAACCTTTTGCATATCTAAAAAGTCTTAACCAGGGGCAGCCTATATCTTTTTACACTTCATCAGTGAGAGATTAAGGACAAAAAAAATGATATCATAAACACACATAAGCTATTTTAGCCAGGAAAGAATCAGCTGTGAATCACCCCTGCAGTGAAATGAGGTGTGCTCTGGTGCAACAGACTTAACATTTTCAGTCAAACAGTGCAGTAAAAGTTTAACCTTGCAACAATTTGCTCTTAAGTAACAATGTGCAGTGCAGCCATAAGCACAGTTACTCTTTTGCCTGTGAGGTTAAACAGTCACGTACTACTAACTAACTGGCTGCTGAAAGCAAGAGCAGCTCTGTATGTAGGAGTTAACAGGTCTGTATAAGGACTGTGTCAGCATCAGAGAGACTGTGCTCCATGTGGGAGCACAGTCTCCAGAGGCCTGTTCATTGCCGCCTTTGCCCCGCTAATGTCTATCAGGATGGCGCTGCAGTGCATTTCACCCTGACCTTTGACCTATGGGGAAAATGAGAATTATATTACAGCAATAGATTGTATAATGTATCGTTAGGCCAACTAAAAATACATTTAAATGTAGTCTTGGTTTACAGTCTTGATTTTTAGTTGAACATGAATTGTGTAAACTGTGCATAGCTAGAATGTACTATGACTGATTTTTTTTAACCCATCCATAAAATCTGCAAACAGCAACTGTGACCTAATAAGCCCCGTGAAAGCTCACCAAACAAGAGAGGAAAAACACAACACATTAGGAAAAATTATTTGCAGTATAAGAATAAAAACAAAACTGATTTAAACAGATTCAGCATTAAGACAAACAGATTCTAGTATTTTTCAGTGGCCAAGTTTAAAGCAGACAGTTGGACCTTCTTTCCACTGGTACTATTGACTCTTACAAAAGGGTAGGGGATAAAGATTTCAGGAGTAGGTCTCGTAGATGCACCCTGGATATCGTAGCCATCGAACTCTATAACACTAAAAAAAGAAGAAAAATCTCAAATAGGAAGGAAGAAGAGATTTTTAAATAACTGTGTTTTTTCCTTAATATGTTCTCTCACCCATGTGTACTGCTCCCTATAAGCGTCAACAAAATAAAACTAGATGTTTTAGCACCAATTATCCTCTAGGTGGAAGTGTTCATCAAGAAACTTATTTTGCATAACCCAGGCATGATTGAATGGAGTCTTTCAAGCTTTGCCCATCCCATTTAATTATTAGGCTTTAGTGATATGTTATCTTGTAATCACACAGCCAAGATTGGCATATTACACCACAAAAATTATAGTGTTAGTATGATATTGTGGCACAAAAGAATAGAGACAACTGAAACAAGTAATCTCCTCAGAAAAAGAATTTGGATTATAGTCTTGTTCTCCTGTCTAGACACAAACACATGCATACGTAAATGCATGTTCATGGTGTTGTTTAGTCTCATAGGGTCAACTGAGCATCATAGGTGAAGCATTCTCAGCTGAAGAAAGAAAGCATACATCTCTACTTCATAGTGCATGGAACCCTGAAAGTAATTCAATTCAATTCAGTTTTATTTATATAGCGCCAAATCACAACAACTGTCG